CGGCCCGACCATAACTGTCACGCGATTTGCTGTAGAACATAATCAAATGATGTAACGGGCCTTCGGCCCGCAAAGCCCGTCGTCCTTAAAATTTGCGCCGTAGACACGAGAAAGGGATGTAACGGTGAAGCACCGCGACTACAACCCACCCTTCTGCTTAGAAAACGTTTTTTGAGGTTGGGCGAGGGAGTTTTTTTCCTCTTTTGCGGTTTTGGGTCTTCTTCTACAACTTATTGTTCACTACAGCAATTTTAAGCTTATTTTCCTCAAAAAAAGAGCCTCCGGCGCCTAAACGGTTAGAGATAGAGCCAAACGGACGAAATTTTCGCCCGCAGGGCTCTACTTTGACAAGTTACCCCTAAGGAGACCATCCAATATTTTCGGAAATTAATAAATTTATTTTTGGGCCACTTTTGTAAGAGAAACTCCCTTTAGCGCCCAAACGGTAAAAGATAGAGCAAAACGGACGAAATTTTCGCCCAAAGGGCTCTACTTTGACGAGTTACCCCTTAGGAGATCATAAAAAAAATATTTTGTTTCTGACTTTCTAGACCTACCCCCTTTTCTGTGATACCCCCTTTCAGCCCCTTAGGGGTGATTGCCAGGATTTGCCGTAGGCGTTTCGTTTTCTAGGAGTGAACCTTGAAGTCACTAGCACATCTCCTTCTAGTGGAACAGACAGACAGACAGACACACAGACACACAGACACGAGGTCGTTTGCATAAGCCCGCTGGATAGCTTTTTCAAAGCAGAAGGGCGGGCTAAAAACGCACACTGGAAACGCAAGTGTGTGAATGTCGCTCACTTGTGGGTGAGCAAATATCCATTCGTACACTTACGGGGGTAAACGTGTGAACTTTTCCCAGAAAATTCACACCTTTACCCCGTGTCGACAAATGGTTAACATTTTTGAGTTCAGTACATCCGAATTAGTCAAGAACCGTTAAAAAATAATTTTTTCCCACTTTTCGGTTTTCTGTCCCACTGTGCGCATTGAATTTAGGGGTAAGTTTTGAACATTTTGACTGCTTTTCGGCTCTGGAAGGCGAACGGTGGGGCCGATCGACCTTCCACAGGGTGGCCACGCAACCTGGAAGTCAGGGAAAAGTCAGGGAAAAAAATATTGGTCAGGGAAGTCAGGGAAATTGAACGTTGGTCAGGGAAAATGACTGAATCTTGCTCGAAATTGTTATTTCCAAACTCTCGGTGGCACACTAGAAACGCAAGTGTGTGAATGTCGCACACTTGCGTTTCCAGTGCATTTTCAATTTTTGGGGAGGCAAAAAGTTCCACTCAAAAAACCTTTAAGAGTCAGGGAATTTGCGTAAAAAGCCAGGGAAAGGTCAGCTGACCTTCCTGACTTTACATTTAGCGGGAGGGAAAAGTCAGGGGATTTGATAGCTCCGATTGCGTGGCCACCCTGCTTCCACTTGCAGCGAAGCTTCCCTTTGGTGTTCTTGAACAGATTCGCAGGTTGCCCACCCTTCATCCCCTCGCGAGGGGGTGCGGTTGCCCTTGAGTGAAGCCGCCTCCTCAGAAAGGGATGAAAATGTCGACACCGTGTTCTAGTGAAATATTCCGTAGGAGTGCGGGAACCTTCCCTGAACTTTTCACGCCCCAATTCTATCCCTAACAGTTAAAAACGATCGGCGTGCGCGGATCTGTGATTGATAATCAAATAATCACCCGCCACAGCATGGGCTGTTTTGTAGAGCTCTGCTCGCTGCGATAGAACTGCACACGTTTTGCTCTCATTAATTTGTTTCCTTGCTTTTCATTTCAGTGACGGAGTTGTTGGTCTTCCAAATGCAGTTGCCGAAAGATTTCTGTTTCAGTAAGTAATTGTTTCGAGTAAATTACTTTTGCGCTTAGACAGACACAGGGGTCGGCAACTCCCAAACCATTTTCGTGCTCTGGAATAGTATCTTAGTAATTTATTTGAGAATATGGCATTTCACCCTGCAAGGCGCTTTAAATACTTAATATCAATAACTCAAGTTTGCGGCCAGTCCGAACACCGATCGCTCGGCCTGGGGTGTCTGAACCTTTTCTCAGACACCGAAGACCATGCCTGATTCGAAATCAGTGTTTCGAACTCTTTCGATGATGAGATCACAGTTTTCTCAACATGCCTTCTGCTTTCTCGCTCTGTTCCTGTCCTACAGTGTCGCTACTTTTGCCACGTCTTTATTCGTGAACCTGTGCGAGGCTAGCGCATAGCAAGTATTGCTTGTCCAAAATATTGAATCGGGGCACTTGAAAAGTAAACTAGGAAGTATTTTATGCCAATATTTGGTGTCGTTTATATTTAGATGCACAGCACAAAATAACACCAATGTAAACGGGTGACGTTAAACCCTCTGACTAATATTAGCTTGAAATACTTCTGAATTTACTGTTCAAATGCCCTGATTCAATATTTTGTGCTTACCTTGTTAAATTTTTCGAAACCAACTATAATTTGTCGTTAGGTGGCAACCTTTTCGTGTCTACACACTAAATGTTTATGAACTTTTTTATACACACGTACGTCTGTGTACATGCTCTATTGCGTATAATTTTAAACGCAGTTATGGACAAAATTGTTCATAGTTGCAAATATTTTTACAAATTTGTTCATAACTGCGTTTAAAATTATACGAGAGCACGTACACAGACGTGCGTAGCTGCGTACATAAAAAGTTCATAACAATTTAGTGTGTAATGTGCGCCGACCAAGGGATAAGCTCCGCGAAACATCCCCGGATATCACTTTACCTTAAAAGCCTGGCGTTGCGCTCCCACTCTATTTTTGACTTTCTCAAGTATTTGAATCTCTATGGGTCCGTGTAAGCAGACGAATATCGCAGAATGGTACAGTCATGAGCCATCATTTCGGACCGAGGCCCTAATTTCGGACAAAATACGTGAAAACATTTAAATTAGCATACCTCAGCCAGTTTTTGAGATAGTCACCACAATCGGAAAACGCCATTGGAAAAACAAGAGTCTACTTGACAAGAATACGCCACGCCCCATTGGTATTGGTATCGGTTAGGCTGTTTCAAAAAAAAATACGATTTCACTAAATCGTGGAAGACAACGGAGGTAGTATTTAGTAAATTTTGACAGACAACAAAGGTGCTTTCTATTTCTAGACAAGTTAATGAAATTTGAATAAAAAATACTACAGAAAATTAGAATTTTTTTGAGATATGTTTGCTATAATTTAGACTGATGAAATGTGAGCGCGTTTGAATAATAACAAGTCGCCGCCGTGTAAAAAGGTTCAGCATAAACGCTGTTTCGAACGCGACCGGTCAGCATTAGTCGACGATAGGCATTGTTAGCGAAGACTGTACTTGTGACTTCCAAATCGCATTTAAAAGAAGGCGCGGCGGCTAACAATGCTGCCAACCTATCGCCCTTTGCAGCTGGGGCGCGGCTCCGAGGAATATTTAAAAAAAAAACTATGATTCATAACCACAACTGTAGATCCGCCTTCGCTAATAATATTATTTCATAGCATGCAAAAAGTATGCGAAGCCAATTAGTACAACCAACCTATAACTAAAAATAAATATCATATCATTTATTAGTTATGACAACATCCTAATTGAATAGAATATTTTGACTATTTCCGACGTAAAAATTGAAATATATTGGGCCGTTAACGCGTTAAGGTTAGAATTTGTGGTAAATATTCCTGCCATTGCACAGAAAGGATCTGGTTTTTGGGCCAATATTTGAATACTATACCTGTGTCTGGTTTACTTGTGCAACCAGGAACAACACAATTAGTATACCTAGTTAATGGGCTGTATTTATGTGGTTCAAATCAGGAATTATTAAATAAGACCAATAAATTTGACTCTAAGCTCAATGAAAATGGCGTCGATGGTCTTCCCTTTCGCGTGTGTTTGAAATGAAAGCCTTTATAACAAGGCGGTAAGGTGGTGGCGTTCGAATATGAGTATTGCCATCTGTGTCTGTTTCCTTATTATAGTAAAGGAAGTGTGCTCCTTCGGAAAACCCGGATAAAATGTTTTTGATGATTTGCTTGTTTTATTTAGAATTAGTGGTGAAAATGGGAATATTATGAGAAGGCGGTAAGGTGGTGGCGTTCGAAAAAAAGTAGTGTTATCCTAGTTCTGTGCATTGTAGCAAAGGAAGGGATTGTTTGAACGCAGACTTTAGAGGTGTCTTCTTTCCTCTGGATTGGCTCGGCTCGGCCTACTTGTTGCATGCAAAACTATCTCCATCTCTCTCGTGACGAGCCGAGTATCACCATAGAAACAGCGATTTCAATTTAAATTTGCAAAAAACTGAAAATTAAGTTTTTGATTAAACTTCGAGGATCAATTAAAAATTGAACTTTCTAATTTTTTTAAAAAAATTAAGAAAATCGTTAGACCGGTTTCTAATATCCCATAAAGGGCCATGTAAAACAATTGACTATCGGGGCAAAACGATCGTAGAAGACAACTCCGCTGTCTAAAAACAGATGGTACAAATTTAAGAATAGTTTGGTGTTGTAATTTTCTCTCATATTTAGCTACAGAGGAGAAGGTAAGGGCGGGCAGAGGAGAGCGGCTGGCGTCGGTAGTCCGGCATTGTTTGGCAGGGGACGAGGGCCTGGCGCAGTATTGTCGGCGGGAGGGGGGGTAACGCGAAAGCAAAAGGCTTCAGCGCGACAGCCAGTCCCCTAGCGCCCAAAATTATTGTTGATGTTGTTTGTGTTTGCTGGTTTGCGCTAGGTCTCTTCTCCTTTAGTTTGCTTCAACTCTTTTACCCTGTCGAGAGTTAAAGCTGCTGACACCTTGATATTATTATTTATGTGTAATTTTTAAGTTATAAGTATAAAGTGTTTCAAGGTATCATCTGCAATATGTATCGCTTGCAGCGAAATTGGCGTGTAATACCGAGAAACGTTCTCTTGTAAGGTTTAACAGTACTACAAATTTTGACTCTGGTGACGCCCCAGGCCAAGGAAGAGACACATTTAGGTCAGCCTCACCCGAGGCCTAACCTCTTACGGTTTTAACGTGCTTCGTCCTTGTTTAATTTTTACCGTTTGCTCACGTTTGCCTTTTAGACTCGGTGCGCGGTCCGTGCGCGGTGTGTGGAGTGGAGGGCTCGCGATGTACCGGCTGCCTGCTCGACTACTACTGCGGCAAACAGCACCAGACACAGGACTGGCCGCGACACCGGGCGGGATGCAAGGTGCTGGAGCTGCGTACAGATGAGCGCCTGGGGCGGCACCTGGTGGCCACCAGGAACATTCCCGCTGCGACTGTGATCCTGAGAGAGCGCCCTATGCTCTCAATCCCTTCACCGTGGACTGCGGAGGAAAGTGTACGTAGAATACTCGTTTGCAGTGTGTGGAATGCAGTCCTTTTCACGACGTGTCATCTGGTTTTTTCGATTTTGAAGTGCACGGTACAAAATAGTCGTTGAGGTTCTCTATTTGCCTGGCCCCTAAATATTGTCAAAATCTCCATCAGTGGCTTTTCTGTAAAGCAATGCGATGCTGCAGACGTTGATCTTTGTCCGTACTGTTGAAAAAATCGATTGAATTTTTACAAATTTTGCTGGCAACTCTTTACGTTATTCGATATTTGTAAAATTACCAACTAAAACAAGTGTAAAAAAATTTTCAAACGTGTTTTGAAATTTCAGAATCTGCTGAAGGCTATAACATTAAATTCTAATTTTCAAAGCATTCAAGTCTACACGTTTGCCAGGCGTCGGGATTATCAGAATATTGTCAGGATTTTCAAATGTCAGGATAACGTCAGGATGGGGGGGTGAAAGTGTCAGCGGCTGGCGAGCTGAGCGACGCTCAGCTGCACGGAGTGTAATAGATGGAGACTCGGCTACGCCAAACGGAGTTGTTCCCAAACATGTCCGGGGCTAGAAGCTTGCAACTCACTCTAGTGGTGACTTTTGACAACTCCAGAACACGGACGTGAGCCGGGCCCCGTTTTCATTCGCTGAAATACGGCAGCCAAGCTTCCATCTCTCATACTCCGTGCTCAGTTCACCAGGAGACGAGCTGGGCTGAGCCGAGCATCTCCGGAGAGGTGGCGCGGCGTGGAGCGAGCAGCAACGCTCGCTTACTAGGGGCTCTGGGGTCGGCACCGCAGGCCTACACTGATAAACTAAGTGTTCAACTGCTCAACACTTCGAAGTGTGCAACTGTAAGTTAAATACTTGCAAGTGTGCAACTCAGTAGGCGTGCACTTGCAAGTGTGCAACTCCTCGGTTGAGCACTTCCTATTCCTACACAGTAGGCGTCCAATCTAAGGAAGTGTTCAACCGAGGAGTTGCACACTTGCAAGTGCACACCTACCGAGTTTAACACTTGCAAGTGTACGACTTCGGAGTTGCACACTTGCAAGTATTCAACTTGCAGTTGCACACTTACAAGTGTTAAGCAGTTGAACACTTAGTTTATCAGTGTAGCTATATTTGCGCCAGGCGCGTCGCAGCGGTTCACGGTTCACGGTACGGTTTTACTACTTCTGGTCGCCCCGACATTGCCTGATACGTTCGTGAGATATTGCGAAGCCTGTTGTGCGAGGCGCGGGCTTTTGCGGGCGGGCTAGCACAAGCAGGCTTCTCCTGATTATTTACGCACCCCTTATGGAGCCCCCTTCCTCCTCGCTCCCTTGTGTTTGTTCGCCTTACTCTGCATATACGTTCATGATACTTCCACTTCCAGACACACGGAGAAAGTATTATTAGACGTGGAGGGAGCACAAGGCCTTTGAGCTGCAACTAACACCTGCTGTGCCAGCCACCACCGCACAGTGGGAGATTTAGGTTCAAATAAATCGCGACAAAAGTCAAATCTTTCCATGATCGGCATAAAATTGGGAATTACGGAATTTTCTAGGGTAACGTCATCAAAAACCGTCAAAAACCTGCCAATTTAGTGAAAAGTGCAAAATTGGTCCACCCTACCTATCCTACCCCGAAAACGTTATAATTGCCAAGTTTTCGGTTCTGTTTCTATGAACGCCGTACAGCCGTACAGCCACAAGTAAAAGTATGCTCACATGTTTGGCACTTTTTTGGCGGAGCCAGCCAGGCACTTCCACCCAAAAAGGCCATTTTTAAATGCTCAGCATCGCCAAGATGGCAGCTTGCGGCACCTGTTCTCAAGCGGGATACGTTTATTTGGAAAAATCAGTTTATGCTAAAGATTAGATTTTTGACTTTTGTCGCAATTTTGAGGCCAAAATCTCCCACTGTGCACGGCAGCGGTACCCAGGGATTGTTTTGCCATCGTCCGACACTTGCTGAGCGGCGCCAGTGGCGGCCGGACGTTTTATCGCCGTAACCGGACCCCCCTCAACCCCACATTTCTATTCCATAGAAGGGGTTTTCTAAGACGTTTTCTCAATATGCCCATCTTTTTCTCCGCATTTTTCTCTTAATAACCAAATTTTATTGGAAGCCGTGGACCGATTTTAATTTTGCACCGGAAATTCTTGTGTGCACATAGCACTGGTGTAACTATGCAATGTCACGTTTTCTGTTCGAAAGCGTCCTAGGACTTCCATTAAAATTTGGTTTGCGATGGAAAAGGATGGAGAGAACGGTGGCATTATCAAAAATCGTCAATGGAAAACCCTTTGATGAATTAGTAATGTTGAGTGAGGTCGGGTTACGGTGATAAAAGCGTCCGGTCGCCCTAGAGATGAGCGTACATTTTCGCATTTGATCGAACTCGAACTGTTAGCGAACTGTTAGCTGTTCGCGATCGCTCGGACACGACCATGACGTGTGAAATATATTTTTAGCACTAGCACTTGCGTTTAAAACTATTTCAATCGCTCAAATGGCATTGGCCCCTCTTCAAGAATCCAATTTGCCTGGTTATACTCTGACTATTTAGAGCGCACACTAAAAATGCTTATGAACATTTTTATAAGTAGCATAGCTTACTGAGTTCTGTTGGTGTACGTGCTCCGCGTACGCATTTTTTTGTACCGGCGTATAAAGAATGCGTAAGCGGAGCACGTACACAGTACTCAGTAAGCTATGCTACTTATAAAAATGTTCATTCATAATGCTTAAGTGTGCGTCTAGGAGTTAGTTAAGTTCAACGCTGAAACAGGCTCTACATTGTTCGCTCAAACCTGGAAAGTCCTGGAAAATCCTGAAAAAAATTGGTCCTTGAAAGTCCTGGAATTCGGTTGGACGGTCCTGAATCAAGTTTCTAGAACCAAGTGAAAAAAAATTATGTTGAATTTTACATTTACAAGGTTCGAATTTTCAAGTACTGTTCTGACAATGTGGAAACTCACATAATTTTGTGATGCTGCACTAAAAAATATTCTGAAATTTAAGAGCAAAATATCTCTTAAAAATAATAACATTTTCACTTGTTCTTAAACGTAATAACAGATTATGATATTTAAGAAGTTATCTTAATTTTGCAAAACCAGGTTTTAAAAATTCTGATGAAATTTTGCAATTGTACTGAAAAGTAATTAAATTTCAGAACAAGTTTATTAAATTTAACAGCTTTCCTTAGTTTTGACGAAATTGTTTTGAAAAGTCACAC